ATTTTAGACCACCAAGGGATCTTTAACGCGCGTAACTTGCCCACGGGCCCTCCGAGATTTTTCGCCCTTGTCCGTGAAGGTTAGGTGTATATCTTTCCTACCAGAAGATCAGCGGAGAGGCAGAAAGACAGCTGTAAGAAGGAGAAGGAGTAGCAGAAGAAAGGCTGCAGAAAGAGTCAGGAGCCCAGAGGAGGGGGCAAAGGAGGCGAGGGGGTGAATGCAGAAAGAGGAGACGAAAGCAGACGACAGAATATTGCTAGAGAGCAGGAAAGGAGGTGAAAAGAGACAATTTTAGAAAAGAAAACTTTTCGGTTGCTACCCAGATTCGAACCCGGGACCTTTGAATGAGAGGCCAACACCTTAACCTGTAGGCCACGCGAGCCCCCCAAAATTGTTTGAGTAAAATGGAAGAGGAAATACAAAGTACACACGTTTGGGCTTTGCAAAATCAGCTCTCTACACTGCACTTTACTCTTATTTTATATGATCTCTTATACTGCGTGGTGTCGAGGAGAGATTCAGTTCAAGGACATGGACCAGGTGTGTTGCTTTTCGGATCGACATATATATATAGTGTGCCTTTGAAGGATGTCTTTGATTGACTCCATCGATCCATCTTTTTATTAGCCTTCCTTTTGCTCCCAGGCCATCGAATAGCATCTTGTAGACCTTTGAGACCGGCAGTTGTGGCCCTATTCTCATTACGCGTCCAAACCATCCTCTCGATATATTTTATTTCAACGCCCACTTATTGTTTGTCCCATCCATTCTTCGGTTATTCCTTTAGATGATATCACTAATATAAGTGTTTCATTCTTGATGAGTTTTGTTGTTAAAACCTGATAACAGTCTTTCATGTTCCCTCCTGTTACCCACTTTCTCTCCCGTTACCCACGTTTCCCTCCTGTTACCGCCCCTCGTTATGTTCATTTAAAAAATTCTTGAACTTCGTTTTTAAAAAGTAAGTGTGGGATTAGCTTCACCTTACTGCTAAAAGGAATAGAAATTCATATGATCACAATGTGTTTGATCTTAGCGTGAGAATCACCACTGAAACTCTAAAATTTTCACTGATTTTTAAATTTGGCACTTAAATCCGAAATAATTTTGCGTGGATTGTTA